CGACGTCGACGTTTACGTAGTCACAGTCGTGGTGGTTTCGTAACCGGGAACGTTTGCCCGTTTCTTCTTTTTTTCCTTTTTCTTTCTCTTTCTCTTTCTTCGATTATCGTTTCCCTTGTTATCGCGACTTATACCTACGGCCGCCTATGAAACGAAGTTTAACCGAGACGACCCACCGGTATGAAAGTACGACGACGAATTAAACTGCCGATTTGTTCGGTAAACGTCTCGTTGCGCAACTTCCGATCCAATCGACGTAAATTTCACGGCTGAAACAAGCACATCGGAAGCGTTTTTTCCTTTTTTTTTTTTGTTCCAGAACAAATCTGAACGAATTCCTTCTCGTATCGTCGAGAATCTTCCAATGATTCTTTTGGTAATTTTGTCATTCGCTGCTCCCCCCCGCCCCCCTTTCCCTACCCTCTCTCTCTTTCTCGCTCGTTTGCCCACTCGACTGCTTTCTTCGCACGGAATAAGTTCGAAATGTAAGCGATTCGCAATCCACGTTCTTCGCGGATAAATCCCCCACGTCCTCCCCCTCCAGAAAAAATCCGGCCTCAGGTTTCGATCGTTTAGCCTGGCATTTCTTTGAAAAGAACTCGATCGTTTGCGCGACCTTCGATCGACCGGAAGTCTGTCACAATTTATTGCGAAACGAACGAATTATATAAAAAAATCAAGTACGTGCGTATACAAGTGTGAATGCGTGCATGCAAGAGCGAACGAAAAATATGAGAGAGAGAGAGAGAGAGAGAGAGAGAGAGAGAGAGAGAGAGAGAGAGAGAGAGAGAGAGAGAGAGAGAGAGAGAGAGAGAGAGAGAGAGAGAGAGAGAGAGAGAGAGAGAGAGAGAGAGAGAGAGAGAGAGAGAGAGAGAGAGAGAGAGAGAGAGAGAGAGAGAGAGAGAGAGAGAGAGAGAGAGAGAGAGAGAGAGAGAGAGAGAGAGAGAGAGAGAGAGAGAGAGAGAGAGAGAGAGAGAGAGAGAGAGAGAGAGAGAGAGAGAGAGAGAGAGAGAGAGAGAGAGAGAGAGAGAGAGAGAGAGAGAGAGAGAGAGAGAGAGAGAGAGAGAGAGAGAGAGAGAGAGAGAGAGAGAGAGAGAGAGAGAGAGAGAGAGAGAGAGAGAGAGAGAGAGAGAGAGAGAGAGAGAGAGAGAGAGAAAATATGAGAGAGAGAGAGAGAGAGAGAGAGAGAGAGAGAGAGAGAAAGTTAAAAGAGCCACTGCCTTAGCGACAGCAGGATTTGTGCTAGAAACAAGGCCTTAGAAAGTAACAAACCAGAAACATAATTAGAGTTAAGTAAGTCTGTTGTTGTTAACCAAAAAAAAAAAGAAAAAGATAACGGTACTTAGAGAAATCAGGAGGACAAAAATGTTGAACGTATTGTAAAACTAATTAGCAGTTGTATTTAAGCGCGTAACGTAAATATATACTTAACCCCTCGTGCCCGCAATTAAATAGGCGTATTAACGCATAGTTTTATGTAGGATTATTAAACGTCGCTTGTCGCATACGAAGATAGAGAATACGAAAGGGCGGGAAGCGAGATGGAAAACAGAGGAGATCGGTGATAAAAAAAAAGGAAAAAAAAAACAGAGAGGGAGAGGAAGGAGGAAAATGGAAAAGGAAGGGCGAACACGGAAAGAGAAAAGGAAAACGAGGAAACGGTGAGAAGAACGCGTCGCTTTTATTAAACGAGTATCGGTACTCGCGAAATTCTTTGTCTTTCTCTTTGACTTTGTTTTCTGCTCTTGCCTTACGAAAACAACAAAATGAAACGAAACGAAATGAAATGAAACGAAGCGAAGGAAAGAGAGGAAAACAGGACGCGCGCCGATCGTGGATGCGCGTATCGGCCACGATACCAGAGGAGAGAATCGTCGAACGGACGACATGTTCGATGGAGGAAAATGAGATTTCCGATAGCGTGTCGCACTCAAAACTACCACTTTAAATCCGATGTTAGCGTAGCGTACGTATCGTAAGCTGTCGACATTTATACTATGAACTATGAGTAATTGTAGCGATCATTGTGAACATAGTTAATAGTATAGATTAGTTAACCGCACTAATTGTACCGAAAAGTGGATTACATTTAATTCCGAAAATAATTATCGAAGTCTACTTCAATAACGCGTACTTACGTTGTACGCGAATCAAGCCGAGTTAAACGAACGAAAGAGTGACTAACATACAAAAGTGAAGAAGAATGAAAATGTGAGATAAACGTGTGTGTGAGAAAGTACGTTTGAGAGCGTGCGTGTAAATGAACAAGTGGGAAAAGAAAAGAATCTGGCGAAGGGGAAAAGGAAGCAACGTGAAATTCAACGACGGATAAGAATCGAATGTATTCTCGAAGTGGAGGAAGAAATAGAAAGAATTAGACAAATTGCGGGCGCAAATGGCCGTGCATGCATGGACTTGTGCATGTATATTCGATCTGGCGTGTGTTTCTTCAAAATGCGTCGCGGAAATAAAACGAATCCACGAAATCGCGATAGTCGACATAACCTCTGAAACGACGACTCGGCGCAAACCGAGTAACAAGCATCTTTGAGTATATTTGCCTATTTTCGGTATTCGCGATCGTTGTGCGGCCACTTACGTACGATGAAAATCACGTGCAAGTACACGTACACGTACACGTATATCACGTATGCGATACGATTTAATTATCAAAAATATGGTTGTTTCGAGTCCATTCGTCAGCCTACGCGATAATTTACCCCGAGATCTCAAGATATCGGATCGCAACGTCCTTTTTCAAATATTTGCCCCACGAAACAGCGACCATTGAAATGCGATCAATTATCCGTTAACTAATTAGGTTATTGATTTGATCTAGTTTCTAGAGTCTACTACTGGTAATAGCTTCCCCGTACACGTGACCTACACACTATACATTCGTGCAGGCAAACACGTGCCACGTTGGACTGTACCATTCCAAGACGAGCACAAAAATCGAGATTCGATCAACTTTCTTCCGTCAAATCTAATGGAATTTTTCCTAAAACTCGATCTTCTTTTCTCCGATTATTTTACGACGAAATGTTAAAATGTATCGACGCCATTTTCCTCGCACGATAACAGCTCAAAGATCGTCGACTCATCGAATTCGGCGATACGACCAAAGCGATATCTCTAACCTCTGATTTATCGACTAACTCTCTTAAAGTTTGTTCTCTCGACGTAGAAAGAACGTTGTCGGCGAAACCTCGACGTTCGTTTACGTTTGCTAGAGCAGCGTTGCTTTATACCAGTGAGAAAATCGTGCAGATTTTTATTGCTTTCGTGAAACGAAGACAAATCTTTATCTAGGAAGGACTTTCACTTTGGTGTATAGCTCTTCCTTGGCTATAACGCACGATCTTGAGATGTACGTGCGGGTGAGTGTGCGTGCGTGTATGAGAAATAAATAGAAAGGAAGTTGCATCGAAAATACAAGTACAAAGTGCACAGGTAACGGGAAAATTAAAGCTGTCGTCTTAGTCCATGAGCGAAACGAGATCACGAAGCTTCCTTTCGTAATCTTTATCGCCTTTTCTTTCTTTCTTCGATCTCTTCGTTTACTACCTAGCAATTCTCGCAACAAATCACTGCTTGTTCGTCGGTTGCTCAAGCTTCCAGAATTCGACTTTCAAACGCGAAGCTACGTTTTTAATTCTGATCGAATGTCAATAGGAAACAGAGTAAGCAGCCAAATCGCTGCTTTGTAGATCACAGGAAAGAAAAAACCGGCGTTAAGAAACGTATCTTACGATACTTACGGTATATATATATATAGTATACTACATATATACTATATATATACTATATATATATACTATATATATATATATTATATATAGTAAAAGAACGCGTTAACCTGATAATAGCCGATCCTGGTAACGCTACGCATTTTGGAGACTTATTAACGTGGTCATAGAAATTTGCAAGTTTCTGATTCTTGTGCTGCACGGGGAATATACTACGAGACATATAAGCATTTATAAAATACACAAGAAATGCGCAACACGAAGAACTAACAGCCCTATAAGATGAATAAATCTGTAATTTAAGAGCGAACGCACGAACGAAGGAACAAAAGAAAGAAAAGAGAGGAAGATGAGGTAAATACGAATGCAAGTGAGAGAAGATCGTGCGCGTGGTATGCATATGCGTATGTATGGGCGTGCGAGCAGCAGAGAGAAAGGAACTTTGCAAAAGAGAAACATTAGAGTTCCGTCTTTGAGTGTTGAAGAATGTTCATTTGTAATTGTTTAAATCTAACGAGAAATGTACTGTAAAACTATAAGTACTATAGGCACTAAAAATATATCATTTGTTGACATGAAAAAATAAAAAAATGATCCCACTAATGTAAATTATTCCTGGCACGATGCCGTGCGAACGATCGGCGTGAGTACAAATACACATACGCGCGCATTGCATCGATGTAAACGTGTTTAGCAACGACGAAAGTTATAAGCGAAAAAGAGAACGATACGTTGTTCCGTGTTAAGGATTATTAGGTAAGAAACGCGATTCTCTACTTTCTAGACGAATCGGTCTGCGATTCGATCGAAAATAAGAAATACGTCAATTAGATACCTCGTCGAGTGTTCGTCTCATCGAGATTCAGGCTCGGCAATACTAAACTCCTTTCTCAACACTTGTCCCTATCAAAGAACATACCTTGAGGGATAAATGTTCGAAACGAGTAAATTGTTGGTGTTCAGAGTAACGCTTGTGCATATTTTTTTAACGAATTCTCCCCATTTGATCATATTACCGGTCGACATATCGTTTGTTTCATTTTTTACTTTCTTTTCATTTCCTTTATCACCTTTTCCCGCCTAGTAAGTAACGATGAAACTTTATGACGCGGTAAGTAGGATATCGTTCTTTTGTACGATAAATTGTGGCTAATGTATACGATGGTTTTAGTTTAATGTATAGAAAAAAAGAGTGGCAGGGATCGGTATAGCTGAATGCACAATCAGAAGCAATTATTATCAAACAAGTTTGCATGAAAAATTTTTATTTACGACGTATAATGGATGTATTATGTACAACGATTGGAATTATAAAATTCGTCTCATCGTCATTTTTCTTGCCATAACGTTCAAGTTTTACGTTTCTTGTTTCGAAACATACTTCTAAATACAAACGAACATTTGAACAGACACGATGGATGGCTTTGCTTTCGCTGCAAATAACTTTTTCAAACTATTAACGATTATACGCGTTACGATGAATTACAATTAAGATGATTCCAGCATCGACGTAATGACGGCAAATAAATAAGTGTGAATTAAGTAGAAATAGGAAATAATCAAAATTTCGTTTCTTCGGATTATCGCCTAATTGCTTCGACGACGTCAGTGTAGTCGTCGTTATTGATGTTGATGGTGCTGTTGCTGATGTTGCGTTGTCTTGGCAAGAACTTCCATCTTGGATTGATTCTCCGGGGGAGGCGGAGATTGCTTCGTCTTCTTCTTCTCTTCCTCGTTCTCTTTTACCGATGGAGGTGGTAGTGCATTCAATAAACCTTGTCGAAAAAAAAAACTATTTGTTACATATTTGTTGCGCGTACATAAGGAAGGTGATATGTAGAATATACTTTCGTTTCAAGAGATATACCTTAGTTTATACCTTAAGAGTTCATACTTCTGAGTAAATTGAACGATAAAGAAGGTGAAAATGAATGGTATAAATGACTTACCAACTGTTTCTCCTTTAAGGGAGGCGCCTGCAACGATAAAAAAAAAAAATAGAAGTAATATTTTCGCACTTTAAATGTCAAACGTTTAAGATTCTGCTAAAGGGCGAGTCGAGAACACACCGTTTCCACGATATTTGTTTAATTGCTGATAGACTTGCTTCATTCTCTCGATGTTGATCCTGGAGCTCTTGCTGTGATTCACCATCGGTAATGAATAGTCTTTGCCAATAATACATTTGGCTGCACGTTGCACGCTAAGTGGTGCGTTCCACGGTTCATGAATATATCTCGTAGGAAAATTTTTCAAGATCGGCAAGTATCGCCTGTATCAAAATAGAATACAAAAGAAAACAAATCACGAGACGAAGTCATCCGGTATCGTGTATAGTATAGATTACGAGATGTCGAAAGTCAAAGTCACAATCGAAACTCTAACGCCGAAGAAACGTCGTTTAGAAGCGATCTAAAGTTACCTAATGTAATCGCCATTCGGATCAGCTTTTCTGCCGAATCTCACCGGGCAATAGCAGTGGAAGAATTGTTGGAAGAAAGAACTGCACGATAACCACATCCACATTCCCGCGTTCACCGACCAATCAGCATCTAGCAACAACTCGTCGAACACCTTTGACAAAAATTTCCATTAACTTTGTATCTCGCTGAACGAACTGGCAACCAATATGGCAAGAAAGATGATCGACAGAGATGAAACTAATGGGACAAACGGACTTAAGTAGTTTTATGATATCGCGAGACAGCAAAGTATGCTACAGTCAATCCTCTAGAACGCTAGTCGAAATGTCAATGTACAACAAGTGGCATTTTACCTTCATTCCTTCTTCCCAGGAGATCCAAAGGTCGCCTCTGGTTAAGAAACAGGCGACCGCGTGTCTAGCCAAGTGATGTATCCAACCTTCTTCTCTTAATTGTGTCATGATCGCATCGATCCAGGGAAACCCCGTTTGGCCCTGTCCGACAAACGTCTTTTACGATTTTTTATGAAAACTCAAGAAATAACGGACGATTTGTCTATAAACGAATTCACTCACGTTTGCCCACTTGGCAAGTGCTTCGACATTCTTGTCCCAAGGGATTTGCACGCAAATTGGATTACCCTGCATCCGATCGAAATTTGGATTCTTCGTAGCAGCGCAGTAAAAAAATTCACGCCATAAAAGTTGCCCGTGCAACGAAAGCGGCGGTACGGCTTTCTTTATCTATAAAACATTGATACGTATAATCTTTCGATCGAATGTCGATGATTGTGACTAATTTATAATTTACAATCGCAGCAGTTGCGATCCACGTCGATTAAATAGATAATGTTACCTTACCTTCTTATAGAGGTCAGTCAGCTGATAATAAAATAGCCGGGTACTCAAGCATCCGAATCGTAAATAAGGCGAAAGACCGGTTTGACTGGGCAACAATGATTGCGGGGTCATTTTCGGTCTCCCGAAACTAGCCACCCAGGCCTTCCTTTCTAGATGACGCTCCAACCGTGCCAGAGCCTCGCTTTCGCCTCCAACCCATACAGGCGGAAGAAGACCCTCCGTGTCGAAGCCTGTTAATCATCAGGATAACTAACTCCTTACAACGAAACTCTCGATCCAGTTCCCTCTACATAGTCGAAATAATCACTCGAAATAAATACGCGATAAACGAACGCGTAAATTTACCAAGTTCTTCGAGCGTTGGAACACCGTAATGATCATCGTGGTCCTCTTTCAGAGGGGTGTAGGCCGAACCTATGCAAGCAGAAGTGACAGTCGGCACCGATGGTTCTGGAGGATCCATACTGGCAACCACATTTTGAAATTGATGATAAGTCAACGGTGGCTTCCCTCCGTTCCTCTCGATGATCCTGAAACGCGAAAGACACGATCGTCGATGCTCGCTGACATCGTCACATACACGGGCAAAGAATATTACCAGGAAATTTATAAATATTATCGGAACAGAAAAGACATTATACCACTCGAAGGACTAGAGGATAGCTCGTGACGTCTATCGACGACCAATAACCGGCTAGGGATGAGAAGCGAGTTTAAGAATGGAAGGTTGATCGAATGATAGTATTTCCACTCACTCGTCCAACTTGTAAAGAGTATGCGAGACCTTTTGGACCACCGAGATACCAAGCTCCTTGCAGAGTGCCGAGATGTTGTGGTCTCGCACGCGTCCGAATGGCTCTGGATCTTCCTCGAAGGTCAAATTCGTGGTACCCCATTCCTTGAACAATTTCGGCAGAGCGTCCGCCGGCTGACCTCTTATCACGAATAGTCTGGAGTTCAATTTTCGCAAGGAGCAGTCGAGATCTTCCAAACACTGTAGCAAGAACCTGTGGAAAAACCGAATTGTAAAGCGAACTGTATTTGTTAAACGTTAACTCGCGTACTCACCTCCACTTATTGATGCCAACGTTGGTACTTCCGGCGAACCATGGATCCAAAACGAACACGCAACGAAACGTAGTGGCTCCGGTAAGACCTTCCCTCAGCGAAGGATTATCGTGAAGCCTGAGACCTTTGCGAAACCAATGAACCGTATGCTTTCCACCCTCGCCACGCACCGTCACATCCGGATTTATTTCGCTACTACGACTACCCGTCATTTTCCCTCCTCCTGCTAGGTCGGTCGATTTTCTTCAAATTCGTCTTTTCTTCTCTCGATCTTTTCAAATTTTCGGTAATAACAGCGGTGTTCTATTAAACAAGCAGCACATTTTTAAACAACTAAACAGCTCTCCCTCTGCTCTTCGTATCTGTCCCTGCGTGTTCTTGTCACTGTTTCACAGGCACAGAGTACACACACACTCGCGCGTACATACAGATGCGGGCGCGGGCATACGCACATACATATACGCATACGAACACAGACGCAACATTCTTTAACATCTTTTTTTAATTTTCTTGCCCTCCCTTCGTTCCTTCCCCCCCCCCCTATGTTTTCCTTTTTCCGTCGTTCCTCTCCTAGGAGAGAGATAATCCGAAGGATGCACTTCTTTGTAAATTTTTAAGTTAACCACCTCGATGGAACAGTATCTTCAGTCTTCGAGTATCATCGTCCTGACAAATCGATTCCGCCTCGTTTTTACGTCATCAAAGTCGAGAACAAGATCGATCGATTTACTATTCTCTCGATCGAGATTTTCTACCGTCTATGGAAAGGAAGAATTCCTGCCGCTCAAACGTGATCGATTTATATCGCGCGCCACTATCTATTCTCTTCGTAGTTTCTATAGGTTTGGCTTTTCCTTATCTTCTCCAATTGGTCCTTTCTTTTGTTTTTTTGCTACGTCTCTAGCGTCTTTTAATCTTATTCGTCTTTCGGCATCATTCGATCATTTAGTAGTAGCTAGAAGTAGCTATTACGTAGAAGTTCTTTAAACAGAGCGATCCCAGGAGAGAAGGTAGAGGAAGAAAGCACGGTAGGCGATATCGGGGTATATTGTCTGGAAATTTTTTTTACTTTGCATTATAATCTTATAAAACACTGTTGCAGCAGTAGGTCTCGATCATTCCGATTTAGTCCGATACGAGCTTCGCATCGGACACCCGCAAAGAACAATGAAAAAGAAAGAGAGAGCAGTGAATCAACGAACCCGTGCGTCGATATATCACGCATCGCCTAATTTCTACGTCTGACACATTTCCGACATTTCTACTGTGGTGCACGTTACGCGCTAACTGACGTATGACGTATCACGGTCGACTCTACTGTAGTACGCAGGGAGGGGAATCGATAGTAACAGGCGTTCGGTTTATCGTTGCCGTGTTATTATGTCACACTCGTAACATTTAGAAATGTCTGCGCGAACGTAAATACCGTCTGTTAAGTTCCGTTCACCCGTGTCAATCGTCTTCTTAAACCTTCGTACCAGAAAAGAAGAGTGACGATTAACGCGTACGCAAACACTAACGAGTTACGTGTTACTTCGATGAATGGCGACAGGTATCAAGATACAAATTGGAAATTTATCGCACTGTGGCTAGCTACCGCAACTTTTATCGATTACGATTGGAACGATCGATCAGAACCCGAACAGTCGAAATCACAGAAGTATTATATCCCTCTATTAGTTATTTCTATTTATAAACAAATCCGTAAAAACATTAGAAATAAATATGAATAAAAATAGTGAAATAAAGTCTATCAACGATACGACGTATGACAAATTATACATGTATTGTAGTATTAGGTTTTTCTTTCTGTGAATTAATTCCAGGTCGATTCACGTAACTAGCACTCCCCGTCATGCCCGAATATAGACGAGTATTATATAATTATATGATTGTAATACCTGTTTCTCGGAACGTGAAGTTTCGTGGACGGAGCTTAGCCTCTTTCGCAGCCACTGTCTATTCTCCTTGAAATTGATTTCGGTGATCGATTGATTACCGGCATCCTTCGTTCAACGTGCAAATTGTCACAGCACACATCTTCAACGATAGGTCTTCAACTTGATCTACTGCGATAAGAACCAACAGCATCAGCAATATCGAATGGTATATCTACGAGGCGATCGAGCTTTCTGACTTCAAAATTACTCTCTTAAATCCAAAGTTATAATTCTTCTAAGAATAATGTTTAATTTTCTAAAGTCTTTTTATATAATCCCTTTATAAAATCCTTGTGCAATTAAAATCGTTTAAATTTAATTAATTAAGTAAAATTCATTTAGACGCTAAATAATTTCGATAATATTTTGCAATTTATATTTTTCCCTATATGCTATTGCTATAATCGCTCTCTTTTAATGGCTTGAAAAATGTGACGCAAATATTATAAATCTCTGCACATAGTCGTGAAGTCGGGGTTCTGTCGATAAAAAAGGACGCGGCATAACGATACTTGCTTCTCAATATGTACTGTTTCATTTAATGTTAAGCGATTCGATCGAAGAGAACATTTTACATTCGATAATGGCTGTATGTGTTACGTATATCCATAAAACAAAAGTGAGACAAATGCAAATAAACAAGTACAATAATTTGATAAATCGTTGCAGCAAAGATCGATTGGATAACACAAAAGCTGCATGTGCTTATCCGCGATTAATGTTTACTTGTAAATATCGATCATCCAATTATAGAATGAATATTGTGTCAATCGACAAGAAATCGTTAGATGATCGATGAAAAGCAGGAAAGACACGCTTTAAAACTTTAAGATGATACAAGATAAAGATAGTTGGTTAAGAGTGTCACTACTAGCAACAGAAGATTGCGTTGCGATAACCGGAATTAGCAAGGGAGCGAAGGTGAAATACATTGGGAAGCAAAACGTCTAACGTGCATTTACGAACGAACACTTACAATCGTGTGGATGCGCGGACATTTTAATGTATCCGAATTCGCGATATCGTTGAACGTTAGTTAAACGACGCACTGGACAAACTTATCAGAACTAGAAAAAACAGCATACACATTCGGTTTAATATTCCACGCGTTTAGACGATTCAATGATCATGCAAAGATAATAGTAACTCATTGGTAAGATCGGCGGCGATTGTTGCGACCGGTGAAATTCGATACTTGTTTCGGATAATGGAATTTTTCCAGCTTTCCGGGAGAACGGACGTAAAAGTAATTTGCAACGAACGAACGAACGAACATGGATGCGAAACGCGCACAAGAAACAGTTGCTCGCATATGCCAACGTACAACGTACAACTTGTCCAGTAGACATAGAGAAGGAGAGATATGCTGTAAGAGCAAGGGGACGCGGAGCCACGCCGAATGCAACGTGACAGCGTCCCCGCGTACCTTGCAATTGGCCAACTCGATCACGTGGTTCATCGGTCACGTTGCACCCGCCGTGGTTCTATACGCCTCTTCTATGTATGTATATACCGCTTATCATTTCCTTTTTCCTTTTCTCTTACTGTTTCTTTTCTTCTTTTATTTTAGCATTCGTACATTCTGCTCATCGTTCGTTCTGTCATGCTCTGAATAGGTAGATACCGTTTTTTTCCATTTAATCAGTCGATATTGTTGCACTTAATTAACACTTTTTGCGGAGAAAGTGGATCGTCTTATTATTTTGTTATTTCATACAACCGATGCAAGGATTACTGGGAGATGCTGCAATTGTTCTTTTTTACTCCATTGACTCTGTATTGACTATTATCGACTGATTTCATGCGAAAATTTCATAGACTTTAATATCAAACCTAATCGAAAATTCTTACTCTGGTCTGTAAACGCATTTACAAAATGATCTCTACTTTACAAAAACTATTGTAAAAGAATTCATCAATTTTTCTTGCTAGCCCATAGAAATCTCATGAAAGCTCATTATATAAATCTCGTAGGTTAGGATATTTACCTCTAAGATACCCTTGACCGAATTGTCACGCGCATACGCATTACCATTTTTTTCAGTACATATTACACTATAGATATACACCAGTGATGTAACGCGATGCAGCTGACTCGGCGTTGATACATCGATCACACGCTGGATTCCATAAACAAATATACTCTTTAATTCGTTTAACTGTAAATTTTAATATCGACCGGCGCGTTTAACTTAATTGTGATTTTGCAGTATTGATAATTTTATTGGTTGATACAAATCTATTCAAGAAACTTAACTATTCAGACAAGTACAAGTATACGTATAAAGAGAAATGTTTCGTAGAATAATTACATCTGTTTATTTGTATTGATACATAAAAGGTATCAGGAAGAACAATAGTACAACAAGGTACTCGATGATTGATTCCTTCCCATTACTTTCGATACATTATTTCTATCTGCAAGTCGTGCAATGTATATAAAAATGACTTTTCAAAAATCCACGTTATTCACCGTTGTTACATTATTCTCGTATTCGTTTTTCTGTTTTCAAATCTGGATCATACATATCTCGCCATTCCTTATTTACTGATACATATTGTTCGACGATATCATGTAATTAATCTATATGTAAATATTTTCTTTATACATTCGTAAATCTTATAGTTTAGTTAGTTTAATCCCTTTGAATCTTCATCAATACGCACTTTTAGTACATTTGCGCGATAAGTTGTATTCGAAGCTATAATGTATTAATCTTGATTAATTTACTTCCTTCGAAATCGTACATTAGTGTATACGATATTTAATTATATCTACTAATCATATATATACATATATGATTTATGTATTGTATGAATGCATGTATGTATCTACGTGAATTGAAAGACTATCACTATTGACGGAGTAAGAAATAAATCTAACGAGATGTCTGACGCATATTACTCTATTATTGTGTAACAACATGTTACAACGCTGCTATGCAACTAGCGTTGAAGCACCTCGATATCATACTTATGTGTTCGCAAAAATTCTTTCCACTTTCTCCCTATTTTACTTCTTCCACTGCCGCCCCCACTCCGTTCACATTCCCTCAAATCCCCGTCGTTCATCAGAAATAACTTGTACTCTGTCGATGCTATTAATTCGTGTACAACTATAAACGCATGACGTAAATAACAATTAGTAAATCATATATTTGAAGTCTTCTGGTCGAAACATAGTTTATGTCTGTAATATTTTGTTCTGTGTACCGCGTATGAAGTTAAAAAGATACACATTTCGATCAAATTAGTCATTACTTCGTCGAAGATTTAATACTTTAGAGTACGGTAAAGATAAGAAAGAAAGAAATAAAAACGAAAAAGGAAAAACTGTGTGGAAATGAAAAGAAAATGATCGGAAGAGAGACAGAAAACTGTTGATACGTGCAACAATTACAAATATTCCAAAATATTGCATATAACAATATGACATTAGCAATACGATTACGAAGCGTACAAAATCAAATTTCTTTCCACAGAAAGATTTCCCGGTCAAATCACTGTGTGAAAAAACAATTTGTCTAACTTACGAAGTTCGGTTAGAAACCGAAAATGCTACAAATTTCTATAAGATTAATAATAATAATATTACGCTTATATAATTTGCTACCAATCGTTAAGTGCGACGTTTTACCATTGTTAATTCAGTGAAATTCGTTAGATTAAAGGACATTAATCAACGTTGCTGTGGTAAATGATAAGACACAAAAAAATGCTCTATAAAACAGGAGAGAAATAAGATCTTAATTTTGCTTGGCTTATAATTGCATTTAGCAGAAAACTAGAGCTCTATATTCTCTTGTTTTTATATAAAAGAAGATAATACTATTTCAGATATAAATGTGATACTAAGTTTTAATGATTACCTTCATTTTTATAAAATGAATACTTAACTGTATAATAGTACCACTACGTATTTTGTGTGTATTATTTTTATACGTAGTAACTCTTTTTAAAGCTATAATTTTAATCTCAAGAATCCCATTTTTTTATGCGTCAGTCGAATTGTGTCTCCTATTAATTATTATATAATTTGAAGACAACAAAGAATAAAAATGCTTGAGAAAAAGCTTTGCTTTTGTTTCTTTAGGATTAGTTGTTTTTCAAAATACCTTATCGCTTTGCGATTTAATACAGCACTTTTCCATTTTTAACATCAAATGTAAATAAAATATGTTACAAAACACGATCATATACGTTCATTAAACATTTTCCTGAACGCATTGTGACTTTTTGTCTCTTTTTACGGTCATAATAATATATCCAGGTACGCACATCAAGCCACGCAAATAATTCGATTAAGATAGATAAATTATTGTACAATGTGTCATTCAAACCTTTCTTTTATACTTTATAGGAACATCCATGTGGAAGGTTCGCGATTTGCCGACATAATGATCAATGTTGATAGATTATTTTATACGCTTCGGAGGTCTACCACGTTTCTTAGCCTCAGTGTTTACAGTGTGGTTGATAATCGATGATTTGGCAGTATGCGAATTCATTGCTTTTTGTACATTTCTCCCGGCATCGATTTTATATAAGTCTAACTCAATCGTTTCACTCTCAATCGCCCTCCTAGATCTTCTGGTTCGACCAGCTATTCCTTCCATCTCATCGAACTTTGCCTGCAATCTCTGGGCCAATTCAAAATCTTCCTTTTCTTGAATAACTAATCTTTCCATTCGTTCCTGCTCTTTGATAATTTCTTCATCTGAAAGAACATTTTTCTCTACAATTATACTTGTTTCAGTAGTATTATTATTCTCTGATATACACGTTTGCATCTCGACACAAGATTCAGACAAATTGCAATTGTCCATATTGTCCATATGCTCATATGTTATATTTGTGCCACTATTTATGGAACTGTTCGTGTGTCGTATCTTTCGAGTTGTTCTTTTTAAGCCAGAATTGTTATTCTGGCAATTTAATCTTATAGAAAGATCTCCTTTTTCAGAATTTTCTGTACTAGACTGTTTTTCTGGGCATGCCCTTCGCTGTTTCGATTTCGATAAAGTAGCTCTAGTAAACTTAGTTCTACTTCTGTTCTGTACTGTAACAGGAACATCATCTGTCATCTTATATTCAATCTCCTCTTTCCTACATAGTCTCTTTCTTGTGTCTCTTTTCATGATTGTTTCTAAACCTGACGAGGATACTCTATTGGAATTCTTTTTATCCGTGTTTATTTTCCTTTTCTTTATTCTTTCCGCAATATTCTCAATTGTTATTTCATTCTCGCCTCGTATTTCGGACTTCTCATTGTAAAGTGAATTTAGCTTTATAGATTCAGATGGAGAACTCAAATTTCTCATTTCGATATCACTCATATATTTCATATTTGTTGCAGCCTTAATATCTTGTTTAATCCATAAAGATTTTTGTCGTTTAGATTTACATACCATGCCGTTTCTAATATGAGATTTCCATGATTTTTGTACCTTTCTAATATCTCTATGCTCTTCTAATATTAAGTTTTTACTGATTTTAGTGCCATTAATTATATTATTCACATTCTTAGCATAATTCTTATTAGAATCAAATGATACCTCTGAAATATATTCAAGTTTATGGATATTATCGTCTGTTTGAAATTTTGTTTGTGATTGATTACAAGATGTTGATGGTTTCTGTTCAATCTCTTCTTTACACACATCTTTCTCCTTAGAGCTCTGTTTAGTTTTCCCTACGATATTTAAAAGTATGATTGTTTCTACTCGTGTGACATTATATCCTGTAAAAACTGCATTGCATTGTAAAATTAACCTACCTCGAAATGCACTCCAGGAACATCCAATAATTCGTTTCAAATGTGCCTGAGATGGTGGTTTAGGTACAACGTTAGATATTCTTTTAAGTATAGGAACAACTCTAATTAATTTTGGATCTATTTGTCTTCCATCTGTAATGCAATATTATACAAATTATTTAAAAAAGAGTTGAAATTTGAACGTAAGTGTATACAATAAAAATAAAATTCAACCTGTAGACATTTTTAATGGTGTTCTTGGCATGGCCTTGATAGGTTTAAAATGATGAATTTCTTGGTTAATGCTATCATGACTACCAGCACTTTCAGCACTTCCCGTTCTTTCGTCATCGTCTCCCGAAGACACACACACTTCCACACTTAAACTTTTCTTTTTACTGTTTACAATATCATTTGGTACATGCAACTCTTCTTTGCTCTGAGTACCATATATTTTCGAAGTAGATGTTCTAGGTTCCAAGGAACATTTTGAGATACAAGGTTCAATTATTTTAGACACTGTTTGATGCTTTAAAGTTCTTGAAATAGCATTATGTACAGTTGGTTTCTGACAACAAAATTTACTTGTAGGATCATTACATGTTCTAGGCAAGTTTGCATTGTTTTTTAAACTGGACGCATATCTTTCTGCACGGATTTTAGATATTAATGCAATATTTGACCTTCTTAATCCAGGATTATCTTGAGAATCTAAAAGAGGCGGTTTTTCATACTTTGAACTTTGCGCTTCTACGTTATATGAATTTACTTCAGTCATAGTGGCAACATTCAATCTTGAAGCATGAAAACAACTATTAGATACATTAAGAGAGTCCTTATATTTAGAAACTTCTTTGTGTTTGCCCACAAGCTGTTTCTTTACTAAAGATTTAGCAAGTAACTGATCTTGAGTTAATTGAGCTAGTTGTTGTTGCTGTTCTTCTTCCTGAATTTTGCGAATTAAAGACTCGCTGGCTATCTGCTCAGCTTTCCTTTGACATCGTATTTCTTCCTCTGCCATTTGAAGTTGCACTTCATATTCCTGCCGAATTTCTCCAGCTGCACTAAGTATTTTTTTAGCACCACTATAGTCTGTAAGAGAAAAATAGTTTATTACACATCTATTATATATAACGATCACATAATTTCAAATAACACTTAAATCGTACTTTGTTTTCAACAACAACAAATAGGAATGATAAGTAGCACAAAATAATTCCTACTATTACAAAATTGTATCTTTTTATTTTTGAGAAGATTCATTTTATACTTTCAATCATATATACGTATTTATACATGCGTATATTTCCATACATATTAATGTTATGATTATATATAACTAAAGAGGTTATGTTACATTTGTTTATCTTGTCTTATAGGAAACTTACCAGCATCCAAATCGATACTTCTGTCGTCACCGCTATATTTGCTTTCAACTTCTTTAGAAAATTTAGTTCGAATTAATTCCCAAAGACCGTTATTAACTAATGTTTCGGTCTTCGTTGCTGTACGTAGCCAAGAACCGACTCGTATTCTACAGAGAGGGCAACTCAAACTATTGTGTTCGAAAGTACCTTTCAAACATTTTAAGCAAAGATTGTGTGTGCACGGTAATGTTACTGGTTCAATCAGGATGCTGCGGCATACTGGGCATATTAAATCTCGTAGACTAATATCCACCGATGGTCGTGTCAAAGAAATATCAAATAATTTTGACGTTCGCTTCAAATATGTCGCCATCTTGCCATATTCTTTAAAGAAACATAACAACCACTATGATCATTTCGAGAACCGTGGTTCTCTTACTGAATGGAACACTCGCAAACAGCCTAATCGAAATTGCAGATCTTTTGTAATTAATTGCCAGTTCAGTATAGAAAATATAATTTTTTAAAATTAGAAACTATTTTGATTTTTGTGGAAATATACCTGTCTTTAATATCTTTTTCTAACAAGTTTTCTACTATATACTTTTGTCAGTATTCTAATTATTTTTGTAATTTTGCAATACATATTTTCTAAACATGCACGACAATAATAATATTTATAATTCTATTATTTAACAATTAAACAATGATTAATATAATATACCATTTCAATAATGAAAAATTAAATACTAACTAAGAAAATAAAAAAATTGTATTTTGATTCTTTAAACTGATCTACTTTAAAATATTATATAGGTGAAAGAAGATATTAATGTATAGATTTTGAACGATATTTATATTGTTTCACGATTTATAAATCAGATTTCTTAGGGAATTTTACCACTTTATGCCAATAGATACAACAATTAATGAAAATCTCTAACATTTAACGTATTGTACATTCTCACTAATACATTACATGCATTAACATAGAAAATTGTTAAACAATTTTAAACAATTTTTTGAGGTCCTCTGTTTAACATAAATTATATACCATTGAAAAGATCCTTTTTTTTACTTTATTCCTTTTGCCTGTTTTAATTATAACATTTATCGGTAACAAGTTGGTAAGCCTTATAATCGATAAAAAATATGTCGTAGGTCTTCCCCAATTTCACACAGAAAGTAACAAAGGTCAGGAACGTGCTTGTTGTATATAAGGAAGTACGTCAATTTATAATCTCACGCAAGTGAAACAAAATTTGGGTTTGAAGTATTCATTAAAGATATACATACAAAGATCAATAACTGTTTTCTGGGAAAGTTGTGAAAATGACTCAGAGTAAGTTGCACGAATATTATAATATTATTGGATGCGTGCGAAAGTTACGCATGTTCAAGCGGACATAAAGTAATCTTTCATAAAAAGATAAAAATGAAATAGGATAAGATTTGGTCATTTGAAACTTAGCTTTCGAGAATATCGAATTTGAAAATCCATTTCATAACCGTAACGTATACAGTTGATGTGGCATTATAAATAAAAATCTGGTCAAGGAACATCGTATAACAACAAGTTCTTATGTAAAAAATGTAAATAACGATTTTTTAGTTAAAGTATTCCGTAATAAATGTGGTCATGTTATATGGCTGCAGACTATTCATGTCGCGCAGTTGTATACGAACGATATACGTCACACATTGCTCGATTTCAAATTTAATTTTCTGATATGCTGAACCTTGAATAAATATATTTGTTGTTTTATGTGTTCTTCTTACTTTGTCATGAGGAATTATCTCGTGCCCGCTTTTATGTAACTTTTACATGCATTCTATATATTACAGTAATAATATATTAAGACAGAAAGCAAATATATTTACATATGTTACACAGAAAAAACGAACAAACATCCTAACGAACGAACACCTGTCCTAACAGGTGACATTGACATGTCCAGCTCAAAGCAACAGATACATGATTCACAATACATAACACATTCTTCACGACATCGGACAAATTACTCACAACAACAAACAAATGATTTACGAAATAGTATTACATATTACATATTGCATGTTACAGTAATAAGAATATGTTTCCAAGCAAAATCGCTAATTTTGAACGTCTCAGAAATTATTAAGTTTAGAAAATAATTTAATCGTAAAAATTTTAACAGTTTGTGATCTTCTACAAGAGCATAATATGCAGTATTGCATTAGTTCTTTGAGTAATCAAAATCAATACCATAATGATCTTATAAATGAGAGCTAGTAATGGACGGTATGAAAGATTTATGATATCTATCCAAATTGGCGATTTACGCTTGAGGCTGTTCTCTTATAAGGCAAAAGATAAATGTATATATATATATATATATCGCACAGAAAAGAAGGGTAAAAGGCAAAAATCCACATCTGGATCACTTGGCACAGAACAAGGGCCAAGTGCTAGACAACAGCAAGGGCCAAATGCTAGACAACAGCAAGGGCCAAGTGGTATACCACAGCAAGGACCAAGTGGTATACCACAGCAAGGGCCAAGTGGTATACCACAGCAAGGGCCAAGTACTAGACAACAGCAAGGGCCAAGTACTAGACAACAGCAAGGGCCAAGTGCTAGAAAACAGCAAGGGACAAATGGTATACCACAGCAAGGGCCAAGTGGTATACCACAGCAAGGGCCAAGTGGTACACCACAGCAAGGGACAAATGGTACACCACAGCAAGGGACAAATGGTACACCACAGCAAGGGTCAAGTCAACGACAACAACAATTGGCTCATATTGTACAAAAGCAGGTACCTTTCTCACCAGGGAGACAGTCACATGATGTCCAACCACAGGCATCTGGTTCAGAACAGCCACAGCAGGTATTGTTTATACTTTACTGAAGTCAAAATGAAATTGTATGTAGAAATATTAAATGGTAATTTGTATTTTACTTTTGTATATTTCTATTTAGGTAACTGCTGTAGTTCCAAAGCATAAACAGGTGTTATCAAAAAGTTTGCAAGAAATGTACTGGAATCAGATGCCACAAAAAACTAGTGTAGGAACTATGGGCAAAAAAATTACAGTAGAAACAAACATGTTTAGACTCATCTTTCCTAGAAATTTTGAAACAAATGTTATTCATTATGATGTAGTCATTACACCAGACAAACCAAAATGTTTTTTAAGATCTGTTTTCGAAGAATTTAGAAAAATACAGTGTCCAAAGAGATATCCTGCATTTGATGGCAGAAGAAATGCATATAGTGCAAATGATCTTCCCTTTGGTGATCAAAGTGTAAGTAAATAAATAATGTGCTTTTATGATTATACATATACATAGTTTCTTAGTATCTTATATATTTTTGTTATATATATGTATGTATACATTATAGAAGGAAGAATCAATAACTCTTTTTGATAATGAATTCCAAAAAGAAAGAACTTTCAAGATATATTTAAAAAAAGTTGCGTTTCTTGATTTGTCATGGATCAAAAATTTAAAGTATGATGCATTTGAGTCTGACACAAAACAGCAATGTATTCAGGCATTGGATATTATTTTGCGCCATGGACCTGCATCGCAATACGTAACGGTAATTTTCTTAAATAATTCAAATTTTATTTATGCAAATATTTGATTTATATACTATCATATTAATTGCATGTGGGAATGATATATGATATATATAGTATGTTACGATAAATTTAATATTATTAATACATTACTTAACATGTTGATAGGTCGGTAGATCACTTTTTCAAGCACCGGAACAAGGTAGAGTTGTGTCATTGACGAATGGTTTAAATTTATGGTTTGGTGTATTCCAATCTGCTATAGTTGGATCTAGAGCATATTTGAATGTAGATGGTAATATATTAACATAATAATATTATTACCTATTGCTAATTATGCATATAAATTTTAATATGTTTTATGAATAGTTGCACATAAGGGATTTCCTAAAGAACAGTCAGTTATTGATTTGATGAAAGAATTATGTCAGAATCCTAGAACTGATACAGTGCTGGAGCATCTAACTCCAAGGGACATAAAATATAATCGAGATAAAATAACGAGATTTTTAAAGGGATTAAAAGTACAATATGAATTACAAGATCAACCTACCAGTAAAAGAGTTTATGTCATAAATGGATTAGTCGATTGTGCAAGAGAAAACAAATTTACTTTAAAAGATGGAAGTACTTCTACGGTTGAACAATATTTTTTACAAATGAAAAGATATAGAATAAAATACCCTGAACTGCCTTGTCTTTGGGTAGGATCTAAAAATAGCAACATTCACGTACCTGCCGAGGTAAATATAAATGAAAAAGAAATATGTTTACATGATTAAAGTTATTATACCTAAATAATAATTAACGATACCTGTATTCATATTTTACAGTTATGTACAATTATAGCTGGACAAGCTGTACGGAAAAAACTGGATGATGTTCAGACTTCTAAAATGATTCGCGAAACAGCAACTAATACCCAAATACGTAAAGAGAAAATTATGAGTGGCGTAAGAGGCTTTTTAAATAATTTTTATAATTGAAAACTGTCAAATCAATTTGTTATCATTAACAAAGTAAACTAAAATATAAATATGTTCACAGTTTGCTAAGATGGATTTGAACCATCAACCAAGTTTACTGAATGAATTTCATTTCTCTGTACATGGAGAATTTGAAAAAGTGCCAGCAAGAGTTCTTGAAGCTCCCAAGTTACAATACGATGACAGACAAGTTAACGTATTTAAGGGAGCCTGGAGAGCAGACAAATTTTTAAAACCATGTGATTTGCCAGAAAATTCATGGACTATATTAAGTTTAGACGGATACGTGCGTGATTCTGATTTACATAATTTGCACGATAAACTACGACGCGATGGTTAGTACGTTAAAAATAAATTTTCCAACATAATATTTAAAATATTCTTTTATAGTAACATAAAATTTTGTTGCTATATTACTTTTTAGGTTCATCCCTGAACATGACAATTAATAGGGCACTAACTCCATTCGCAAAATTAAGATTAGAAAATGATATTACGAACATTATTGCATATTTTGAGCAAAAAAAGAAACAAAATATAAAATTAGTACTAGTAATACTTCCGAATATGGACAGTGCTTACAGTAAGTATGGTATTATTTTATGCATATACGAAAGGGAAATTTTTAATAAAATGTTTTATTGACTGTAGGTGTTGTGAAACAAATTTCTGAACTTAAAATACTTGGAGGTATTGTAACTCAATGTATAAAACAGCAAACTATGAGAAAATTAAATGATTCAACGGTTGGAAATATTTTGTTAAAAATTAATTCAAAGCTTAATGGTGTTAATCACACCTTTGCTCGTTCTTATCGGTAATATTATCTCTTATTTTTTTTATAATATGCAATATCTCACGAAAGTATTTTGATACTCCTAGAAACTTTGTATGTATATTATACAAAACATTTTGAAAT